GTAGTTCAACAATACAAACTCAAAAGTTATCAAACAGTGATAAAGAGGGATTCTGTGGGAACACTATTAAATGTTCAATTTCAATACCATATACCAAAACAAGGTCGAGGGTGTGGTTAAAACAGTGAGTCGGTCTATGAACACTCTGAGAGAAGCCAATGGAATTTAACAGAGAGATAAACGCAGTACTAAAGCTGTCATTCTCAACGTCCACATGAATATTAAAATCCCCTACAATAATAACTTGACAAAAACTCTGCAAATTCAGATAAGAATTCAGAGTACGGACCAGGTGCTCGGTACACTATAACAAAAAGAATTGGTTGCAGTGATTTCCAACTTGGATGTGAAAGACTAAGAACACGGCTTTCAAATGAGTTATAGTTTAGTTTAGGTTTAGAGCTGATTAGTAGGCTAGAGTCGAAGATAGCTGCAACTCCACCTCCTCGGCCTGTGCCTCGAGGAATGTGAGAATTAATATGACTAGCAGGGGTGGATTCATTTAGGCTAACATATTCTCCATCACCGAGCCAGGTTTCAGTAAGACAAAATAAATCAATTTCATAATCTGATATTAGTTCATTTACTAGTACACCTTTAGAAGAGAGAGATCTGATGTCCACATAGTCCACATTTAATTTTCCTATTAGTTTGGACTATTGCTCTTGTGATTTTAATTTTATAGTTTTTATGCACAGCTCCTCTTCTGTTTACCTTTGATTTAAATAATTTCGATGGTCTGGGGGCAGACACCGTCACTATGTTACTACGAAGTAACTCCTGAAATGGAGGAGCAGAGAAGTATGTTAGACTGCGACTCTGCGTAGGGTTTTGGGTGGGTAACTGCTGAAATAGAAGGGCAGAGAAGTATGTTAGACTGCGACTCTGCGTAGGGTTTTGGGTGGGTAACTGCTGAAATAGAAGGGCAGAGAAATGTGTTAGACTGCGACTCTGCATCCTGGTCTCAACTCTGGGTTGTCATGGATTTGGTCCACTAATAAAATTGGCCAGATTTCTAGAAATGAGAGCTGCTCCTTCCCAAGTGGGATGGATGCCATCTTTCCGAACCAGACCAGGTCTTCCCCAGAAAGTCTGCTAATGATCTACAAAGCCCACATCGTTTGCTGGACACCACCTCGACAACCAGTGGCAGAATGACGACATGCGGCTATACATGTCATCACTGGTCAGATTTGGCAGGGGTCCAGAGAAAACTACGGTGTCCGACATTGTTTTTGCATATGTACACGCCGACTCAACATTAATCTTAGTGACCTCCAATTGGCGTAACCGACGTGAATAACAATCTTACTGTATTTATGTTTATCCTTAGCCAGCAGTTTCAAATAAGATTCAATGTCACCCGCTCTGGCCCCAGGGATGCACTTAACTATGGACGCTGGCTTCGCTAACTTCATGTTTCTCAAAATGCCAATGATCAGAGTTGGTTTCTCAGCGGGTGTGTCGCTGAGTGGGGAAAATCTGTTAGAAACGTGAACAGGTTGATGGTGCCCCGTGGAATGCTTACGACTATTCCTCCTTCGGACAGTCACCCAGCCCCCCCTTCCTGGCTGCACAGAGGATGCCGGGGGACGGCTACCAGAGGCTAACTCAGGCCAGACTTCTAAATCACTGAGCCTCGCCTCCATGTCCATGTACTTGTTACACGTACCATTGCTGCTAAAGGAGGTAGAGGAGTAACTGAACATCTGACACACCGAGCAGGAGAAAGTAGGAGAGAGAGAAGGAGAAGCCATCGCTAGCTGCTAAGCTAAATTCGCTAAGCACTGTAGCGTCAGCTACCAAAACTTTTGAACAACTATGAGATTGAACAGCAGTCACTAAAAGATGGAAAGAACTGTGAGTGCTTAGGCAAAATTACTGTAAGAATAAGTGTTTAGTGGACAGTTGGCTGCTGTAATCTAACAAATGTAACTGGTATTTAGTAATGGCTTTAGAGTAGACAGGGAAAATCTGAAGTTGGTCGGACTAATTCTCTAGGAGGAGTTCATTAAAGTATGGAGTGTGTAAAAAAAACAAAAATAACCATAAAATGCAAAATGGCCAACTTACAGTTGTGATTAGGGCATCGCTCCAAGAGGCTTTTTGGTACGTCTGGACATTATACATGTGCCTTCGAAATTTCATACATGAAGGTGAAACATAAGGCAGGGGCTGCTTCATTAAAGGTCACTTCCTGTTGCCAGCAGGTGGTGCTATGGCTGTGGGTGAATTTCAGCATGCACATGTGTTCAGGGCGGGACTTTTATACTACATTCCAAATTCCAAATTACAACAAGTTACAAGTTACAACAACTTCCTCATTTCTGACGAATCATCGATATTGGACGCCACGCCATGGCCACACCATTCCATGAAAACTCACCGTTTGTACAACTTTTAATCTTCAATGGCTTTAGACTAGACAGGGAAAATCTGACGTCAATCGGTCTATGTAAAAAATTCTAAAATAACCATAAAATTCAAAATGGCCGACTTCCTGTTGTGCTGTTTACTGAAATCTTTCAAGCTTCACAGCATAGCATTATCACTGTCTTAAGGCTTTTCTGGGACAGTTTTAAAGTTGGTATTGCCAACATATCACAGCATGAAACATGGCGCTAGTACTTTGAGTGACTGATGGTCTAAGGGCAGAAAATTGTTTTCTTCCTACACTTCTCATCTTTTATGCAAGTACTTATAAGAGTGCTATTTTTCTCCTTTTATTATGTCTTATATATTGTTTTAAATCTTTTACCTGTTCCATCTTTATTATTTTTCTTCTTATTCCAGTCTGTCCACATGTGTGGGGTTTAGGTCAGGGATGTGGGGTTGTTGATTGTTTTCCTTCTGGTTGTTCTTCTCCTTCCTTGACTGGGACCAGTCAAGGACCTTTTGTTCCCCAAAACACAGATGTTCAGACTGTGTGAATGATCATGCAATTGTTTGCTCTGGGCCAGACGTTAGTGACTGTCTTAGGAGACTGAACCTCTGGTCTAGCTGATTCTGTTGTAATACTCTGTTTAGTCTCTTTTGTTAAATAAATTGTTCAAAGACAATGGTTCATTGTAACTCAAATATTTGCTCAACCTCTCACCAGGAATACAATTTCCACAACAGATGGCATATAGATGTGTTCAAGGTGGGACTGTTATCAAACCTGATTTGGTACAGATGTGAGCATGTATACTTAAGTTATAACAACTGCCTGTTTCGTAGTGAAACATTGATATTCCACTCCACGCCACAGTCTGCCCCAATTGACTAAAACTCATAAGACTGCACAGCAAAAATTTGAAGCCATACAGACTAATTCTGTAGGAGTTCATTAAAGTGCGAAGTGTGTAAATTGCCAAATATGACAATTAAATCCAAAATGACTGACTTCTTTTTGGTTGTTGACCCACCTGGCATGAGTGCAAATTTTTGTATGTTTGGACCGTAAAAATTACATGTATTTGCAGAAATGCTTCTTCAGATTTGTGTCAGGATCAACATAGCATGGTAGGGATTTGAACCATCAATCCTTGTATCTGAAGAGCAAGCACCTCTATGTTACTGAGATACACTGTTTAAGTGCTGGTTTTAACTTTCTCTGTTGCTCTGGTTTAATGGACATGAAATGCCTCCAAAACACCAACAGAGGGCACTCAATGACCAAACATTCCCGGCACACCACTGTTTAACTTGTAAATATCCCCTATCATGTTGTATCCCCTGTTGTCGAATAACATGTATAGAGCGATCAACTATTTTAAGGAAACACTGATATCCACGTAAACAATTATTGCATTTAGAAAAACTAACAACATACAAATTTACATACAAACCAATGCAAGTCAGTGGGACCTGAACTCCACATAGGTTGGATGTCAGAGGTGGGATTCAAACCCATGACCAGAATAAGAAGTAGAAATTAGATTTTTCAATCACTTAAAATCAGTTAAACCCCAGACATACCATCACAAAGCCCTAACATACCAGGAGCTGAAACCAGAGAAGAGTCCCTTCAGCCAGCTGGTCCTGAGGCTCTCTGCAGTAACAAGTCCCCAACAGCCTCAGGACAGCAACACCAACTCAGACCAAACCAAATTATCAACAAGCAGAAAGAAAAATATATTGAATACAGGAAAGAAACGAAGTAAATTACAATGTTATTTGACCCTAAAAAGAGAATTCACACTGGCAAACTACCTGAGCACAATAAAATGTCCTAAACTAAGAAAAGTGTTGACAACATACAGACTGAGTGAACACATTCTGGTCATAGAAAAGGGTCGCCACAGACAGAGCTGGCTACCACAAGAGGAGAGACTCTGAGGACAGGGAGAGACAGAGCTGCACTTTCTAACCACATGCCCTAAATATAAAACATTAAGACAAAAAAACAAACATTTCCCAAATATACCCTGAATTCAAATCTATATTAGACACACAGAAACTCCCCTATATACTGGGAGAAATGCCCAAATGTCAAATAATTGCTACAAAATAAATCTCGTCATGCCACGAACTGAGGACAACCAGTGGAAACTCAGACTGATAAATAAATAATTGTACTAACTTTCAAATTATTATTATTTTGATTGTTTGATGTTTAGAGTCTGTGGGCACTGTTTTTGAGAAATTCCATCTATTAATTTCAAAGAATTTCAGGATAACAATAAATTAAGAATAGAGGAGAAGGGCATGTCGCAAACATACTACCACTACATACATACTCAGCAAACTGTTGCACGCAATGTTCACTGTTCAGTGTTTTGTTTTTGTAATTTATAACTGCTAAATTGAATGGTCTTGATTGGATTAATCTTGTTATGTCATATTTAAATGTAAACTTTTTTGATTTTGTTGCAAACTGCTTTGGCATGAAACATTCATGGCAATGAAGCACACTGCACTGAACTGAGAGAGCTAGAGAGAGTGTAAAAAAGTGCATGAGGCAGAACTAGTTTTGTCAGTTGATGACACTACAGTTTCAGAGAATGAGGAAAATCTGAGACACAAGGAAGAAGGATTAAAATACAAACACTGGAAGACATGAAGGCAGCATAAATACAAAAGTGACGCAAACACAGGTGGCAGAGAGACAAAGACAGAGCGACTAAGGAACACGCACAAAGAAAGAAAGTTGCCAAGTTAAGAGGGAAAAGTGGTAAGAGACTGCATCTACTTATGAATATTTAGCAAAATATATGTTGTGAAATGTTGCTTCCACAATTACACATTATAGATTTTGAAGAAGAATATATCAAAGATGGGTTATTAACTACAGAGTACTGAATAGATCAAACTTAACAGTGGAGGGGAAAGAATTCATACCGTATATGCAATGTAAAAATTCTCTATCACAAATTAGTCGTACATTCAAAATATTAAAGATACACTAATCAATAATAAAAGAGACAAGCTCACAGTGAAGTAGTGGTAGTATTGGAGCATTATCAGCTAAATCTACTTATGCAGCAGAATGGCCCCTTTGTCAGTTCTTATATTAGTTGACAGTTATATCTGATTCGTTCATATGTAAGAAGCAGTTGTAGGTATGTTTAGCTGGTCAGGGTCAGGACATACTTTCTATACTGTTGCTGTTGTATAGTTTAGATTATCTGTAAAGATACATATTCATTTGTTTGCATCTTATGCTTTTCATCTTTCAATCTTTATCTTAACTTGTAACTATAGCTGTCATATCAATGTTGTCGTAAGGTAAGAAACACAATGCTTCCCTTCAAAATGTAATGGGGTGGAAGTATAAATTAACAGAAAATAGAAGTAGCCAAATAACGAACAAGTACCATGAAACTGCATTCAAGTACAGTCCTTGAGGAAATGTACTTAGTTAATTTTTATCACTGGATCTAATACAAGACTGGAACATACCTTCTACTATGCTGTAGAGCAGAAAGATGTGAATGAAACATGTTCAGTTCATCAATACAAGTGTTAAATTATGTTATGTTTTGCCTGTGAGAGTACTATGTGTGATATGAATATTGAGACATGCTCCTCTCTGTCTCTGTCCCATTAGTCTGTAATACAGACATAAGAGGATACACATACCACTGGACACAACCACACATGCTCATACAAATCACCCACGCATTCATTGGGATTCAGGTGTGCATATGGAGATCAAATTTGATGATTCTGAACTGGGAATGGAATTGATAGAAACTAATTGTCACAAAGAAAACAATGAAAGTGACCATCCAAAAATCAACCTTCAGCCTGAAGTGCAAAACAACAATGGGGAACTGGTTGAAAAGGACCAAGATGTGAATTACATCATCATGTCAGATCCAGATGGAGTCATTTGTATTGATAGGAGACTGAATGATTTCACCTCTACTGTCATTCCTGAAGTGGACAACCGAAAAGCACTTATGCCTCCTTCCATATTGGCGATTCCTCCCCCACTACCTCCTAAGCGCCATCAGAGGCTGCCTGCATTTGAGAAAACATTAAACCAGAACCCACAAGTGAAGACCTTTAATAAAGAGTATAAACCCTTGAACTTACTGGCATGCCAGATGTCTCCTGTATTGAGTGGAGTTAAAGGAAACAATACATGCTTGGGACTTGTCCCTGAGGATGCACCTGACATGCACAACTACGCATATGGAACTTTACCAAAAGTGGAACAAAAATGCCCACCACAGCTCATTCCAAGATCTCCTCCGATACCAGCTATAAAACCTCCATGGCCCAATAAACCACAGAGAGCTGAGACAGAAGAAGGAAATCAGAGAAGGAAACAAGAGGAAGAATGGAGGAGACACACTGGAGAAATAGAAGACCAGAGGAACAGGGAAGAGCAAGATCTGAGTGAAAGAAATGAGAAGGTGAAAGAGAATGAAGAAACATCTGGAATAGAAAGTCATCTGGATGTGGGTATACCTCCACGACAGATCTTAAATTTGCATACAGACAAGAAGAAAGGTGGAGAAGAAGGAGAGGACAGGGGAAGGGAAGAATCTAGTAACATTGGGTTGACCACCATGACAGAAAATTCATCCCTGCTACTGATGGAGTGCTCAGACCTTATCCCAGATGAAGAACCTGACATGGCAGCAAACAACAGAAACTGCACATCTACAGAGACACTGAAATGGACAGAAAAAAACAAAGAAATCCAGATGTCTGGTGAAAGCGGGCAAGATTCTGGAGTAATTTCTAAATTGCCATCTGGACATCGGGAAGGGACAGAGGTGGTGGGGATAAAGTTGGATGCATGTCAGCTAGGGCTGCAGAGGTTAGAGGACACACAGGAAACTGCTGAGAGACTTGTGATTGGAGAACTGAAGCTAACAAGCCAGAGTACCAAGGCAAGACAAAAGGTGAAAAAGATTGCCAAGATGGTGATGGTTAGACTGAAAGAGAAAAGAGAGGAGAAAAGAAGAATCAAAGTGGAGATGGAAATGAATAGAGTAAGAGACAATCACATTGTGACACATGTAAGTCTGACTTAAATCTTTCCACAAAAACATATCAGCAACATTTTAAAACTTTTTTGTCAGGGACAGCCAGCGTCTTTCTGTCTTTACATTCTCATTTATGCACATACCCATAGAGGACCATGCTGACACAATCGAAAATAATTATACAATGACACATAAATTGATATATCTCTTTTAAGTTGCTTCTTTATTATAAGACACCCCACCCACCTCCACCCATCCCCCATTTGCACAATGAGGCAGAAATGCATAGAGAAATAAAAAAGGAGATACTGAAATAAATACCTTTGGAGAAATAAATGGGGTAGAATATGCAAAGGAAGGATAATACAGACAAAAATATTAAAACATATGCATAAATAATTACATTAAAAAAATAATTATTAAGGAAAGTTGAAAATTAAAAAGTGGAAAATAAATAAATAAGGCAATTAATGCAAAGGTAAATAAAGAAGCATAGAATTTTGACGGATTTATTGAGCATTTTGTCATTCTGTATTTATTTTTGATTTTGTCAGACATGGTCCTCCATACATACCAAGGAGCTAATCAATATAACCACAGCCGTCCACTTTAGGTCGCTGGACATGGTTTCTCCAAATGCAGCCTTCTTTCCTCAAACAACCAGTGTGTGTTGTTTCTTTCAGGTTTCCAGCAAGCATCATGTTTTTTAGTGTGAATCCAAAATTTAAGGGGTAACATTTACTAAATAACTGCATTAACCAATTAGTTCTGATGCTGTAAAAAAATGTTTTTTTCCTCAAAAATAAAAGGTTTTTTTACATGGTTATTATCAAGGAGGTAGAATGGGAGGAGGAGGAGGAGGAGAATGAGGAGGAGGAAGAGATTGATGAAGATACTGTGGACCATGCTGAACTGGTGGAGAAGATAGTTAAAAGAAATAATGCAACATCTGACAGGTAACGACACACTGTTACACCCACATTCTCTCTCCCTCTCTGAATAATTGCATCAGCTTAAAGAATAAAAAAGATAAAGTGATGCCAGGATACAGAGATATTCTAGTTATTTTCCACTGTCCTAGCTGATACCTGTTTTGAGATTTTTGTGCGTATTGGTAAACAAGGTGCTTCAGAAGACAATGTAACTGAGATATAAGAGCATGGAACACACACACACACACACACACACCCCTGTGAAGTTGTGGAATGTGGGTGGAAAATCTGGTTCTCCAGGTCTTGGCAGGTAGTTGGTTTAAGTGTGATAGGATCAGGGCAGGTACACTCACCCACCATGAGCAAGCACTTGGCAACACAGGCAAGGAAAAACTTCCTTTTAGCAGGTAGAAACCCTGAGCAGAACCATGACTGAGGGTGGGTGGCCATCTGCCTCGACCAGTTGGGGGTGAGGGAGAGAGAGAAAGAGAGAGGACCCTGAAGGATGTTGCCCTTGGCAGGAGCTTTACTACCACTCCAAGGGGTAACCACACACAGACCCCACGTAGACCACCAGGACCTCTCCAAACTTTAAGACCATCCAGACCTCCACTATACACCCATCCCAGGCTGTCAGAGATGACAGCCAGCCACCCCACAGCCAACACAATAATGGCTTCTGATACCCAACCAGTGAGCCCCCCCAGCCTGGAGGTCCTAATTATTTTCGAAATTTCAACCCGTTTACACCCTCCGTACAATAACAAACTCCTCCTAGAACTTTATCGATAGACTTCAAATGCAGGCAGCGCAATATTAAGATCCTTGGGATGTTAAATTGCAAAGGTGGTGATGGCGCAATGGATAGGACACATGCCTTTGGTGTGAGAGACACAGGTTCAATTCCCCACTGTGGCCCATCTACCAATGTGTCCCTGAGCAAGACTCTTAATCCCTAGTTGCTCCAGAGGCATGTGTCCTCTGACATGTATAGCAATTGTAAGTTGCTTTGAATAAAAGTGTCTGAAATGTTTATTATTGTGTTTCTTCAAACACAATTGATGTAGCAAGTAATTATAGTGGGGGTTTTAAATTTTCTGGCTGCTGTGGGAAAGACCTGTTGACTAGAAGGAGGTCACGACCAACTGGAGGCTTGAATGACAATCTGCTCCACTCTGTCCTTGTTGAGACTGTTTGAGCTGTACAGTCTGTACAGTTGATTGCTGTTGATATTCCATTTCAGATTGTTACTGATGAAGGTGTTGAGGAATTTGAAGCACTTGGTCAGGGTTATGGGTTGCTCAGAGATACGAACCAGGGCCTTTATGTTTGCCCCCCTTTTGAAGTCTACAGCTATATCCATACCAAGTTCATTTTGAATTGAATAAGTCACTGACACCTCGACCAAACATTGGCAAATAATTTCTACATTTCCCCTGTGTAATATCTGCAGTGTTAACTTCAGAGCTGCGTCAGCCAACCTGCGGTGTAGAGACCCCAGCTATTGCTCCACCCCGAGTGTGCAAGGGGACGAGGGCCCGTTAAACGCTGCTTGCAGTTTAATCATTATTATTATTATTTTTAAATCTAGATCCAAGTTCTGATCGAAAATACAGCTGCCTCAGCGTTGGATGTGCTCTGTTTTTGTTTTGTTTTTGTGTGTTAACTCAGTTTTCGGCTGTGATTCATGGAGCTCTTTCACCAGAGAAGAGCTCATGAACATCAGGGGAACACCTCCAGTGGAATTATTTCCCACTTTTCTCACATCATCAGTGGAATTATTGGACATTTTGGTGAAGGGTACGCTTGCACCATAGGAGAGGAAAAAGAGCCAGGTCACTCGTGTATCTCCGCTGGAGGGGACTCCACACATCGTGTAGTGTACAAACAGTGTGGATTTGTGCATTTTATATCAAATAAATTTAGACTCCAAATTCTTTCTCTCTCCCTGGGAGAAAGAAAAGGAGGGGAGTTGAAAGGTTGCTTTCCCTAAGTGCTATTTCTGGGCAGTTGATCGTAAAACTGGCCACCTTTGGCAGCAGCCGAGACAAGGCTTGGTGGCTGACTGTTAAAATGACAAAGAAACACTGTCCAGAGATTACAAACAGGATATGATAAAGATGTCATCCTATACTACTCAAGCAATTTTCCAGCGCAAATTTAAGGTTAAATAACTAAATTCCCCAGCTCCTGAGCAAGAGATTGTTTAGGGTTAATCAAAGCTATCCTCATGTAACCCGAGCTCCCCCAAGTGGACAAAATAAGCATTACATGCCATCGTCTGAAATGCCATTTAAATGTCACTCTGTATTTACCTGTCCATAATCTGATGCCATTCGTGTATCTTGCTTATATTCTCTAAGAACGTGTAACAGCCAATATATCCAGAAAGCTAGTTAAGTTCCTCTCATCTGATGTGATTCCTATGAAATGTTAACCTTTTAAGGTCTAACTACTGACAATTGTTTTCCTTTTTATCAAGTGTATAAAACTAAGAACAGTTTGACAATTAAGGTTTGATTGTGGGAAGATATTTGATTACAATACTCGCAAATAGATTTTTGATTAACTTTTAATATGTCTAAAGAAAGACGGTCTCTCGCGAAACCAGAAACCAGCCCTCCCTCAGGGGAACAAAGGACTGCCCTCTGGGAACCAAGCCCCAACAGACAAAAGCAGCAACCCACGCTGTGTCTTGCTCTCTCTTGTTCCTGGCTTTCCAACTGCGCTTCGGCACACACCCAGCGTGCTCCCTCTCCCGATAACGCCCTAAGAAGTTCGACCCAGCGCAATGAAGGCCCTTTGTTCATTTTCAAGCCACACACGCGAAGCAACATCGACTTTTCCCTCGTTTCCAGCAACTTACTTGTTTGTTAAAAGTTATCAGACCGTTAAGTTACACTAGTTTAATTCAAGAACGACCAAGTTCTTTTTAAGCTTTATTCGTCGAGCTAATTCCACCGACCAGCCATGTGGCCCGCCAGCAGTAACCCAAGGACATCCAAACAGAACAGCTTCCTTGTCAGACCAAGGACGGACAACACTTTTTCTTCATTCAAGACATGGAGAACCCCCGGAAAATTCCCTAGCAGAAAGCCAGGAATCGGGCAGCTAGCCTGGAGACCCATGCAACCGGCCAAGGCAGGCCGCCGACCCACAGTAAGGCAAAACAAGGCATTCTGTGCTCAGTCCCATAGTTGTTAATAGATTATCTTTAACTCTTAAAACTCATAGCTTGTGTTCATTAGCTGCCCTTATGAGTCAAATTCTCCCCACAAGAAAACCCCACATTCTCATTGTTTAGCCATTGATTATTTCTTTGATGTATATGTAACCGCATTTATATTCACCTTAGTTAGTTAATAAATCTCACAGTAATCAAAGGAATTGTGTATTCATTGCTTATCTCCAAGTCCCTCCCACGAGAATTTACCCATTCAATATGAAATTGACTGATTGATTTAAGATAATTGAGCGATTATTAACTAACTGATCACTAGTGAATAATTGTATAACGTTAATTATTAAAACCCTACCCAGAGGTGCGGAGACTCTGGCCGAATTGGATCTACGGTGGTGCCCCGCGAAACGAGAAGCTTTGTGAATTAATATTTTCTAATAATTATATAATAATAATAATTCCATAATTTGGTATTAATTCTCATAAATTTATTAGATCAAAAGTAGTCATGCTAGAATCGCTACCGGCAATATTTCTCTCCAACATCCGCTCACTGTGTAACAAACTGGACAAACTTCAGCTCCTGCTGGGGAAAAACAGAGACTTTTATTCATCTTCTGTTCTGTGCTTCACGGAGACGTGGCTGTGCAGACTGATACCGGAATCCGCGCTGCAAATGGCTGGTTTCCAGGTCTACAGAGCAGACAGAGATCTCCGGCAAAACAAAAGATGAAGGTATCCGTTTTTATATTAACAGTGACTGGTGTACCAATGTGACAGTGATTCAGCAACACTGTTCTCTTGATCTGAAATATTTTATCAATAACTGTAAACCGTTTTGCTCTCCATGTGAGATTGCTTGTTATTGTTGTTGGTGACTTTAACAAAGGAAATCTCAGCCAAGAATTCCCCAAATAGGGACAGTTTATAAAATGTCCAACCAGATTACTTTGGATTACTGTTACACACAGTAAGCAGTGCCTATCGCGCCGTCCTCCGCGCTCCACTGGGACACTGATCATGACATAGTCCACCTGTTTCCTGCATCCAAGCAGAACATAAAACTCTGTAAACCTGTGGTGAGGACATCTAAGAAATGGACCAGTGAAGCTGTAGAGGATCTTCAGATGTGTGGACTGCACTGATTGGGATGTTACTGCTACCAACAATCTGGATGAGTTTACTGATGCTGTGATAGTCCTATCAGTTTCTGTGAGCAGCTGTATACCAACACGCACCAGGGTGAGTTATAGCAACGACAAACAATGGTTTACAGCCAAACAGAGGCAGACCCACTCCTGGACCCCCTGCAGTTCGCCTACAGAGCCAACTGGTCTGTAGATGATGCAGTAAACATGGCCCTTCATTAGATCCTCCATCACCTGGACTCCCCAGGAACCTACGCCAGGATCCTGTTTGTGGATTTCAGCTCTGCCAGCTAAACGTGCCTGACACCTGCAGGTGGATCACAGACTCCCTGACAGACAGGAAGCAGCACATAAAGATGGGTAAACATGTCTCTGATTCCAGGACTGTCAGCACTGGTTCCACTCAAGGCTGCTTTCTTTCCCCTCTGCTCTTCTCCCAGTTCACCAACAGATGCACCTCCAGTCACCAGTCCGTCAAGCTCATGAAGTTTGCGGATGACACCACCCTCATTGGGATCACCTCTGGTGGAGATGAGTCTGCCTATAGGTGGGAGATCGACCATCTGGTGACCTGGTGCAGCCAGAACAGTCTGGAGCTCAACGCTTTGAAGACCGTGGAGATGGTCGCGGACTTCAGAAAGAGCCCAGCCCCACCCCCCACCAGCATCCTGACCCCTCCCACCTCAGACACAAAC